TGATTGCCCACGGTGCCCGCCCTTCCCGCCAGGATGAGAGACTGGCAGCGCCATACAACCCCAGCAGCTGAGTGCGTCATAAAACCCCTATGACACGCTTGTAATTTCAGGTAATAAGAATAGCGATGGCGGAGGTCGCACCTTTCGCAAAACCGAACGCTGTTTGCCACTGCAAGCAACGCTAGCGGGTGTGCGCCGAGCCCAACAATGCCCATTGTAAAATAACGTTCAAAGTTAATTCGCACAGTTTAAACAATTACACCGGGCGAAACCTGCTTACATCTTCGAGGCTGTCCTCTGCACAGATTAACAGTTACAGCAACACAGAAATTAAGGATTTTTCCCTACTCTTCAAGTTCCGCGACCAGATCCCAGCACCATTTCGCGGTGCTGTAAATGCCAACACGTTATTGTCATCGGTCTTAAAACCTCACAGGTTAAGTATACGCCCGGAACATCTCTAAAGCGTTCTGAAGTACTTCTTTCAAATGTGACACCATTTTCGCCCGCCTGTTGACGACGGCTCTGAGCGGCCAAGGGAGACTGCAACGCCTGGCGTCGATTTTTTACCAAGATATGCGAGCACGCTTGCTCAAAGCTACGTTACATAACTTGTGCCAATAATCGATTCTGACTGAATGTTGAACATATCCAGACAAACACGGCTTGGCAATGTTAGTACATATTGTGATGACTGTGAAATGAAAAACACCGGCGATTTATTTCATGCAGTCACTTAACACATGATTTTGCCAATATATCTACCGCAAACTTAACGTCGAATTGATCTCGCGGTAGCATTTGGCCTTCATTCCTTTTAGAGAGTGGAAATTTGCAATATATATATATGTATATATATATATATATATATATATGAAAATCGTGTCTTCAATAACGAATGAACCATATCCGGTGATTTTTTTTTTGGGGGGGGGACCTTTTACTGTCATGGGCCCTTTGTCAACCCTGTGCCCCCTCCCCCTTGGCAAAGCGCTGGCTGCGCCCCTGGTGTCATGTCATGCAATGTCGTGAAATATGCGATACCCTATTTTCCTTATCAAGTTTTGAGCATACAGAAATGCATTATGCACAAATGTCCTCGAACCTGTCAACACACGCAGATGTTTCCCGCCGCAGTGTTGCCATTCACGGCGATGTGGTGCGAGGCGTGGCTTTTCCACGAGATGAAATGCGTCGTCCGACGTGATATCAAACGTCTGTCAATTTAGCAGCAGATTGATATCCAATTGCCAGTTGGATATTGCGGGGTGTCTGGATTTCCTCCAAATTTGGTGTGCTGGGCCTTCTCAACACACTGATTCCGAAAATCATTGCTTTGGGGTGGAATTTTGCGTGTTGAGAAGGCCCTGCACACCAAATTTCAAGGCAATCGAGACGCCCGCAATATCACATTGGGATGTTACTTAGCGTATAACTCGAAAATTACGCAAAATTCCACTCCAAAGCCAATGATTTTCGGAATCAGCGTGTTGGGAAGGCCCTGCACACCAAATTTAGAGGCAATCGAGACGCCCCGCAATATCACATTGGGATATTACGCAGCGTATAACTCGAAAATTACGCAAAATTCCACGCCAAAGGCAGTGATTTTCGGAATCAGCGTGTTGGGAAGGCCCTGCACACGAAATTTGGAGGCAATCGAGACGCCCCGCAATATCACATTGGGATGTTACGCAGCGTATAACTAAAAAATTACGCAAAATTCCATCCCAAAAGCAGTGATTTTTGGAATCAGCGTGTTGAAAAGGCCCTGCACACCAAATTTCGAGGCAATCGAGACGCCCCAACGAGACACGAGACAGAGACGCCCCCCGTAATATCCAACTGGCAATTGGATATCAATCTGCTGCTAGATTGACAGACGTGTGATATCACCGCCACGGACGAGGCGTTGTCAAACAAGCCGCGGGGCGCCGCTCCTCGCCACGCAGCTAGGCGCCGGGCGGCGCCAGCGATGAATCACGTGTCGGGCGCCGAAACCTCCCCGGTGACGTCAGCTATGTGGGGCGACGACTTTCCGGAGCGGGAAAACCTCGGGAATCCCGGCCGCGTTGGCTCCGCTCGGCGTCCGGTTGCGTGAGGCCGGATTGGGCCAGGGGATGCAGTCCTACTCGCACCGTTCCTAGTGTTGCTGAACTCTCCCTGCCAATCAGGACTCAAACAATCAACCCAAGACAACTCCGCTGGCAGGCATGAGAGTGAAATGCATTTCGGTGGGCGTTATCACTCAGGTGTTATAGCTCCGACCATTTTGTCAGCAGACTTCCCTCGTCGTTTGTCCTAAAGCCGTAACATCAAATGACCCGAAGATCAGCGAAACATCCAGCTGCAACCTACTCTGATCGGATTTTTACATCTCTCGCATCTCTATCGGAGTCGAAAAAGCTGATGTCCTTGAATGAAAACGCATGTGCGGTCTATAAAGGTCTCACTAAGCTCGCCTCCCTTAGAAAAATCTTGGCTGCGCCCCTGTCATTAGTTATGCTATAGTGACATATTGCACCCAACGTTAGTAATTTTATGTCGAAGTTAGCGGGTAACCGAATGGATATGCACGGTCCACATGCTGAGATGAGTGCTCTCGGCGACATGACAACAGAATATGGATCTGCACTGATACGTTAGGTACTGCATTTATTAACGTTTGAGATGGCTGCAGTGTGAGCAGTGCGGAGGCAATGTGAATGACATGGGTTCTAGGTTTGTTATGCAACTCCCGCTTGCAGATTGTGATATCTCCGTCACGAATCCTGGTTACGCCTCTGGCTGCCACCCTGCCAAGTCTGCTAGCCGATCCCATGCTGTGGGCAGATTCATATCCAGGTTGCGAACGCTTTCTCGCTTTTGTGAGATCACTTCGGTCATCATGAACAACATGAAGAGTGATCGGTAACTTCGATAGCTTGCACCCACTACCCCTGCTTGAGCACGCCCCTGGCTCTTAGCTGCGCGCCAAGCCACACAGTTAGTTCCACTTTTGCCGTTTGATGGCGCGACGGTCGCCAGCCGTTGGCCTTGACAGATGCTACGTCACAGCGCCGGCGATTCGGCCAGGCACTGCGCGGCACGAGTAGCGGCCGGGTTGGGGCGGGAGGTGTTTGGTGGGCTGTGCTCATCCCCCGACAGCTGCCACGCTTGCGTCGCGCGCGATGATAGGGCTTGAGCCATGGTGCGGGGGTGCCCTGCTGGTGATCGTGTTCGCCGTGTACGCTGTCTTCCTCGGCGCCTGGGAGGCCACCTCTTTACTGTGCCTGTGCACTCTGTGTGTGCTGGCCGCGCGCTGGCTGCAGCGCGCCTTCTTGCGCCGGCAGCTGCAGCGAAAGCAGCCGCGGAGATTGGCGGCGCCCAACGGCTGCGACGACCGAGAGGCGCGCACGACGCTCGGGGTGGCCTGCCTGGCGGCGGCCGTGGTGCTCCTGCTGGTGGTAATCGAGCCGACCACGCTGGACTCGGCGCTGGCGCGCTGGTACCTGGCGCTGGTGGCGCCTCTGCTGGCTTTCGTGTTCCAGGCGGGCGGCACACCGCAGACTGAGATGGCCGAGGCGCTGCGAAAGACCCAGACCAGCTACAGCGAGGGTGCCGCCTGGCTCTTCTATCTCGGCTATCTGCAAATCATATTGGGCGGCGAAAATGGCAAACGCTTCGAGACCCGCATGGACGACTATATGCTGAGCCAGCAAATAGTCGGTGACAGTCGGCGGCGCACCTGTCGGAAGGCTGTGTTCATCCTGGTGCCCATGACGCCTGCTGCAATGCTGTCCGACTTAGATTACAGGGAGAACGACAGCACGGTCAGCAAAGAGAAGGTGAGAAGGGCATGATCTAAAAAACCGGCATATGACGCAGGCACGCAAGTTTCCCGAAACGGCTCGTCCTGTCGCCTTGATGCTTTCACCAATAAGCTCCGTGCAATGTGAGTCATGTGGAGGCAATAGTGAGACTTGACCTGGGGTCAAACACCGCGAAAACGCGAAGGGAAAATTTGTATGCAAATGCCGACAACAGACAACAACAATCCAAGATTCTCGCTTGCAGACTGCTTATAGCTGAAAATCGACCATACCAATAGCTGCCAAACCTTACCATTCAGTACGTCATTTACCGTAATCCGCTGTTGAACCTAGAGGTGTGGTGTCATTTATAATCATGTCTTTTCCTGTATGTTTGTTCCGAGAAAAATGTGCAGCTTGGTTAGGCTGGCCCGATAAGGTTTAATTTTTCCTTAGCGGAGGTGTTTATCGTGGCGATACCAAGCACAATTCAGCGCATGATTTTCGGCTAAGGAGAATTTGACCTCACAAGGCCGTCCTAACCAAAATGCACTTTTTCTTGGGAACACACATAAATGCGAAGGACATAATGATGAATGGTACCATACTTGCACCTTCAACAGGGAATTAGGGATAGATGGCGTACGGAATGGTAAGGTTTGGCAGCTATCGGCGTGATAGATTTTGAGTCATAAGTAGTCTGCAAGCAATCATTTTGGACTTTGTGATATTTGACGACTATTGACCTGACCTAGAGTCACCAAACTTGTAACTGCAGCAGGGAATCAGGTATGGGGCATCCAATGGTGAAGGTTTGGCAATGACCGGTTCGGTAGGTTCCGAGTTATAAGCTGTCTGCAAGCAAAAATTTTGGACTTTGTGAAATTTGACGACTTTTGGCCTGACCTAGGGCCACGAAATTGGGTACTTTACGAGGGAATCAGGTATGGGGCATCCAGTGGTGAAAGTTTCACAGTAATTCCAGCAGGCTCTGAGATCTGAGTCGTGTGCATTTGCATGCAAAACTTACCCTTCGCGTTTTCGAGGCGTTTTGACCCCGGATCAGGTCTCGATATTGCCTCCCCATGACTCACATCATGCATGGAATCGATTGGTGAAAGTTTCAAGGCGATCGGTCGAGCCGTTTCGGGAAACTTGCGCGCCTGCGTTATAGTGCCGGTTTTCTTAGACCCTTTTGGTGAGAGGTGGGTTCGTGAGCATGCTGTTTCCTTTGAACCTTCCCCTATTGGCTACCCACCCTGCAGTCGTGCCGCCGATATGAGCAGTCATGGAGGATGAACGAGGGACACGATATCAGGACAACTCAAAGACAGCTTTCAAAGGCAACTTTGTCTACCCAAGTTTCCGCCGGTTCCACGTTGAGATGCTGTGACGTTTTGGGCAATTAGGTCGTTCTAAACTTATGAACAGGTCCTGTACCACCAAGTGTAGATGGAGTCACGTAAAACGTGTCCGTTGATATCCGGGCGGGATTCAGTCAGCGGCCATCTGAAGAGCAGCGTGAAACATTGCATGCGTTCTTTTGCCGCGGCGCACATTCAGGAAGGAGGCGAATGCCCACTTGGCACACCAGCGATATCAAGTTGTCTGTAAGCCGCCGTCTCCTGTCGCGAGTTCACTATTTTGGTATGCTGCGCGTATGCATTCGCGCGCCCGAACCAGATGTGCGACTATCGGGTGTTCTGTGCAAACGTATGTCATGGCATGGCCAGTTTGTTCATCCCCAGTTGCCACCTTAAGGTGAACGTTTTGCGCCTTTCTCGGCGAAAACAAAATTTGTGGGTGTTTTCCTATTCCAAGTTGTCTCCTTAGTATGTTGAACTTCACGATGGCTACACTCACTCGAAACAGTTGATCGCCGGGAATATTTCTGCAGTTGCATTTTTATGCAACTTATCATTTACTTCGTCTTACTTAAAGGGAATGTTCCACGTTTGAAGATATTTAGGTCGACATCAGATATGATGGGAAAAGCTTACTTGTAACTGTTGATTGGCTTTCAAGGTTCAAAAACGACGCTAAGAGGCAAAATTTCAAAGTTTGTAAAAATGCGCCCCATTACGTCATTGTTTAATGGCCTCATGTAATGGTTCTGTGACGACAGCAAAACTTGGTAGCATCTGGCAGCCAGACCTAAAGAATACCTCGAAACACACGAAAGCTGACGCCAACTGGCCATTCTCGTCACGGGGCTGTGTCGAGTGGCGGATTAGTGTGTGGTTTGTTTGTGGATTTTTTGCATTGGTGCTGGCCGTAAGAAAAGCCTTGGTGGACTGTTTAACGTACGCAACGTAGCGATCGCCAGCTTTTATGACAGATTATTGATATAAAAGCCCGATATGCTGTGCTGCTGCTGTTGCTGTGCTGTTGATGATTTTGTCAATACTTTATTGCCCACCCATCGTTATCTGCAGTGCTGTTGTCCTAGCGTTGATATGTGATGTGCGCAGTAATTGCCTTCTTTATTCTTTGTTCTTGGAAATGCGGTGTCCTGCGAAAATTAAGAAATTTGTAACGTTACTATGAATTGATTGCCAAAGCATTGCTATTGCTATGATAAAGATGCTAAGGTTGGGCTACCAACAATTTTTTTCTTAGGTTTATTTATGCAATTAATGGTTACGCATGATGTAACCATTGTGGTCTAATGACATTCTTGCTGTTGATAGTCCTTCGGCATTATTAAATCAGTTGTTACCAGTCACTCATAACTTATGAGCTGCTGTCTCAGACTTGACAGAGAAGTCAACCAATGTGGTACATTGTATATGGCACGGGCCAACAGCCTCATTGTGGCACTACACCAGTGCTGTGCTGCGGCATGACGTAATGAACAACCATATGACTTGTACTGCAATCCATGCTGCTTTCATAATAAATTCCATCATGAAAAGGTGGGTCAAGCATGCACTCTAGTATTGACTTCCCATCTGACATACGACTGACCAAAAACACATGTTGCAATATACAAATCACTTTCAGCAAAGCAGACAACCACTAAGTGGCATTATTTTCTCAGCCCGTTTTCGGAATCCACAAAACGTAGGCGAGAAATATGTAAACACATCTTCAGCTACCATAGTCATGCAACATGCTGCAGCCATCAGGCTGCTTTAGTAAAAATAGTAGGAAAATTGTACACGTGGTGAAATGACACTGCAAACATGCTGACCTTGCACAAGGCTGGAAACCTGACAAGTGCATGTAGCTATGGTTGGATGGGCAAAATGCAGGGAAGTCATGAAGCTGCCGGCGCACACAAGGCTTATGATGAAAATATGATAAAGTGCTATCCAAGACGCCAACAGCAATACTTCTCCACCTTGTTCAGCACCCAGCATCTCATGCAAGTTGCAGTAACAATGACATTAATGACTCGCGAGCAATGCACGCCTGCATACACAATTTGTGCAGACAGTACAATGTCCATGAGTAATAATACAGCGCTATATTTTCAAAATTATTTAGGGAAAGACAATTGTGCAAAGCCATATAATGTGAGCTTATACTGAGCATGTGCATTAATGGCCTGTACGCACCAGCCCCTACTGCCAAAATGAGTTGTTGATATAATGACACACAATGGATGAATTACATGCTGTAGTACCTCAATAGGTTCAGAATGTTGGCAAGATCATAATGAACTACCAGCTCTCCTTTGTACACCCCTGCAACATAAATGCTATGCTTCTCGTAGTTTGCCAGCGTTCCTTTGTCATGTTCGAACACAAGCATAAAGGTAGAGGCAGGTATCAATATATCACATTTTATTGGGAGTCAGTAAACCTCAAGAATACCAAAACATTGTTTTCTCTGAGAAGTACAAACCTCGCACGCACACTCCCCATCACGTTAATATTAATACAAGCCACTGGCACACGCCACCAGTAACCACACACATTTCAAGCCCCGCATTCACTCTCTGTTGTCAAATAAGTGTCCTTTCACACTTGCACAGCTCGCGGAATCATCAAATTACAGGTTTTCTCGTAATTTCCGTGCAGATTTTCAGCCATAACACCGCATTTCACCGTGACCTCCCTTCAAAACCAAATTCCAACGGGGAGTCATGGCAATGCGGCTCAAGAGGTTTCTTCAAGAAGAAAAAGCACTCAGTGGATTAACAGACTTGCCGGCGCGCCTTTTTTATAACTTTCGAGAAAGTGTCCGTTTTTTGGGTGCCGTACTTTTTTACAGACAGTGGCGTTTTTTCATAACGTTGACCTGTGGCCTAGAAATAAGGAAAAATGACCCGTTCACGACAAGTGCCGCACAACCCGAAGTGCTCACGCTTACGTTCATGACACGCATTCAGCAGCGAAATCTTGCTGACAGCCAATCATCTTCCGCGCGTTGTATCATACGTGCCACATCATCCGCTTTTGCGAATGTTCCAGCGGCCTTGCTGTTTTGACCAAAAACAGAAAACAGCTTGTGGTATGGCCGCGATCGCATGACGTTTCTATGACGTCATTAATGCCGAGGCAACTTTGAAATAGGCTCCAAATAAACCTTTTCGCACTTTTGCGGGCGTGTAACTCATGAACCGGATCGCTTTGGGTCTTAAAAAGAACATGACCGTGAACTGCATCAAAAGGCCCCCAAGATGGCTATCTCAGTTCAAAACGTCTTACAAATGTGGAAAATTCCCTTTAACAACACAATTAAAACCGTCCTTCACATTGTTTTCATTTGCTATCGCCTCTCAGAAAAAGGTGATGGCCTGGATGAGCTGTACCAGTCTTGGCGTAGCTCGTGAGCTGCCCAGGTGTGTTACATTAGACTGACCGCGCCACCCAATGCCACGTGTTTTCAAGTCATCTGATAAAGCTGCCACTTTTTATTATTTCCGACCAGCAGCCTCGCCGCGCTGCATACAGTTGAAAACCCGCCTTGTCTCGCTGGATCATATGCTTGACCTTGTCAGACCTGGAGGCATTATTCTACCAAGTGCGCTAACAACTGCATACTACAGAAATGTATTTCAGATGATGCGAAAAATAAACCGCTAGAAA